GAGAGAGGGGAGAGAGAATGAGAGAAAGAAAAACAAAAAGAAAAAGAAAAAAAGGAAGGGGAAAAAAACCCAAACTGATTTAGCTCCTTATTGAGATTAAAATTCTGCGAACTGAAGGTTAAAATGAGACCAACTAATCATAACTCTACTTCTAGAAAGTATAGAATTATGAGTAGACAGCTCTTGCAGAGGACCTGGGTTCGATTCCCAGCACCCACATGGCGGCTAACAACCATTCATAACTCCAGTTCCAGGGAATCCAATGCCTTCTTCTGACCTCCTCTGGCACTGCACAACACAGGTGCATGTACATGCATGTAGGCAATACACACATATACATAAAATAAAAATAACAAAATATTTTTAAAAAACCACCAGGAAGCTGGGTGTGGTGGTGCACACCTTTAATCCCAGCACTCAGGAGGCAGAGGCAGGAGGATCTCTGTGAGTTAAAGGCCATCCTGGTCTACATAGTGAGTTCCAGGCCAGCTGGGGCTACAGGGAGACCCTGTCTCAAACAAACAAAAAAAACCCCACGAAGAATTCCATAGTCATTGATACAGCTTGGCTGATGTAGCAAGTCTTCCAAATAATTTTTTCATCAGAATTGATAGTACAGGTTGTTCTGGCATGATAATTTTTGAACAGAAGGAGTGACACAGGTAAAAATAATTTCTAAATTCAGGAAAATATAGCATTCAAATTTCATTTCAAATTCTCTGTTTATCATGGGAACAATAAGTCAAAGTTGGTGTGATGGTTTATTCTGATTTTATTGCAAGAAGAAATGTGTAGAATCTTCGTGAAGCATATCTTTGGTGCTTCCAGAGAGGGTTAATGAGTGGAGAAGAACTGCCCTGAAAGTGTGTGGAACCATCCCAATCAATGGGCTGGAGTATTAGAGTAATAAAAAGGAGAAAAAAGAGGCTGGAGAGATGGCACAATGGCTAAGAGCACTTGCTGCAGAATCATGAGGACCAAATCTTGGATCTCAGCACCCATGTAACAAGCTGGGCTTTCCAAGAATGTAAATTCACTCTGAGGGATTCAACAGCCTCTTCTGGACTCCAACTGGGCACAGGTGTATATACACACACACACACACATACACTCACACACCCAAATCAACCAAACAACAAATTATGGCATTTAAGGACTGGTGAGGTGGCCCAGTAAGTTAAGGCAGTGGCCACCAAATCTTACAACCTGAGTTCAATCCTCAGGACCCACATGGTGGAGAGAAGAGTACTGCAAGTTGTCCTCTAACTTCTAGACAAGTGCTGTGGCACATGCACATTCATGCCCCCCATAAATAAATTTAGTAAAATAAAGTTAAAAGGGTGGATGGGGTTAGAGTCAGATGCAGAGGTACATACCTTTTAATTCAAGACCTTTGTGAGTTTGAGGCTAAATTGGTTTACATAGTAAGTTTCAGGCCAGGGAGGGCTACAAAATGAGACCCTGTCTTAAAAAATAAAACAAACAGCCAGGTGTGGTGGCCCACGCCTTTAATCCCAGCACTCAGGAGGCAGAGGCAGGCAGATCTCTGTGAGTGGCCAGCCTGGTCTCCATAGCGAATCCAGGTCAGCTAGGGCTACAAGGAGACCCTGTCTCAAAAAAAAATAAATAAAACAAACAAAATAGTGAGTGGGCCTGGAGATATGGCTCAACAGTTAAGAGCACTTGAGGACCTGGGTTCAGTTCCCAAAACCTGCATGGCAGCTAACAACTATCTGTAAATCCAGTTGCAAAGGATCCAATGCACTCTTCTGGCCTCTGTGGGCACAGCACACACATGGTACACTTATATACATGCAGGCAATATACTCATACACATAAAACAAATCTTAAAAAAATACTTTTAAAGCTGGGCGTGGTGGTACATGCCTTTAATCCCAGCACTTGGGAGGCAGAGGCAGGCAGATCTTTGTGAGTTTGAGGCCAGCCTGGTCTACATAGTGAGTTCCAGGACAGCTGGGGCTACAAGGAGACCCTGTCTCAAAAAGACAAAAAAAAAAATTTAAGTGAAAACAGGGAGTAGTGGCTCACATATATAGCACTCAGGAGGCTGAGGCAGGAGGATTGCTGTATGTTTTGGGCCAACCTGGGCAACACAGTGCATCCTAGCACAGGCTAAAAAGTAGGGCTTTATCTCAAAAACAAAAACTCCAACCAGAAAAATTTCCCTTTCTCTGCTTCCTGATTCTCCCTAGTGTGAGCCTGTAGGCTCCTCCCACCATGATGGACTATATACCCTGAACTATGATGCACATTTCCTCCCTTTAGATAATTCTGGTCAAATATTTGGTCACAGTAACAAGAAAAGTAGCTATTACACTGAGCATTTTAGTGGCAGCTGAAGCTTACTGAAAGATGCCCAGAGACTGCCCATTCCAGCTCACAGTCTTTATTCCCATCCAAGGGAGCATACTGTGCCAATAACCTGGCATAACAGTTTGACATTTCAACAAACAGCCTTGCAAACTTTTTTTTGAACAAGTAGCTGCAGAAAATTGGAAGCTACTTTTTCATTACACCCCCAATACCACCCCCATACTTCACAGTTTGGTTTACAACAGACAGAAGCATCCCTTAAAATGGGCAAGCTGCAAGCTGTTATACTACATTTCCAAAGAGGGCTCTCTAAAGGGAGAAGCATGAAGTTATTTCTAGCTGTTCCCAGTTCAACAGAATGGACATATTACCTTGAGGGCAAAAAATTTAATGAATTTGTCCAGGTCCTTTCTGTCCTGGGAATTGAGATCAGTTTCCATTGCCTATAGGAACCTACAACAGAAAAAAAGCAGAGAAATGATGACATATGTGACTAATCCCTTTAAAAACAGATCAGATTGTTACATCAAAGCACACAGAAGGTAGCCTACTAGCTATATAATGGAAGTAGGAGGGAAGAAACTTCCTGCAGCTAAAGATACCAAAGGAAAAATATTAAAATAAATTCCATACAAAGAGCCATATCTAGGAACCCAAGAAATATATGAGGTCACTTTAAGTCATTCTGAAATTTTATGTATGTGTGTATCTATGTACAATGTGTGTGCCACAGGGTGCATGTCAGGGTCAAAAGACAATCTTGGGTGCTGGTCCCCACCTTTCACCCTGTTCCAGACTGGCTGTCATTTGCTGCTGTGTATGTCAGGCTAGCCAGCATGTGAGCTTCTGGAGAGTCTCCTGCCTCCACCTCCCATCCCACCACAGGAGCCCTGCAATGACAGAGCCACTGCCACACTAGGCTTTCTGTAAGTTCTGGGGATTCAAGCTCAGCACTTTACTCAAGGAACCATCTCCCTAGGCAGATTCTGAAACTTTGAACTTCACTAGTGTTTTTTGTTGTTGTTGTTTTTTGAGGGGGTCTTTCTGAGACAGGGTCTCCCTGTAGCCCTAGCTGTCCTGGAATTCACTATGTAGGCCAGGCTGGCTTTGAACTCACAGAGATCCGCCTGCCTCTGCCTCCTGAGTGCTGGGATTAAAGTCGTGTACCACCACGCCCAGCCACTAGTTTTTTTTTTTTGTTGTTGTTGTTTTTCTTTAAGTCTTTTTGACAGGGTCTCCCTGTAGCCTCTGCTGGCCTGGAACTTACTATGTAGACCAGGCTGGCCTTGAACTCAAAGAGATCCACCTGCCTCTGCTGGGATTACAGGTATGTACCACCACGCCTGGCCCACTTATCTAGTTTTTACATTTTATTTATTATTTTATGTGTATGAGTACTGCTTGCCACATAAGTGCACTCATGTCATACAACATCCTCAGAGGTCAGAAGCGGGCATCAGATTCCCTGGGACTGAAGTTAGGACAGTTGTTAGCCACCATGTGGATACTGGGAATCAAACCTGGGTGCTCTCCAAAAGCAGGCAGTTCTCTTAACCACTGATTTATCTTTCAAGCCCCTAACTTATTTAGTTTTATTGAGACACTTAAAAACTTTGCTAAAACAAAACACATTAATCTACAGTACTTCAAATGCCACCAATCACCAGGTATGGTGGTGCACACCTTTAATCCCAGCACTCAGGAGGCAGAGGCCAGCCTGGTCTACATAGTGAGTGTACTATATTCCAGCACTGAGGGTATGGCGGGACAGGAAGGAAGTCCTTGAACAGCCTTTTTTTTTGTCTTTTTGAAGAAGGGTCTCCCTGTAGCCCCAGCTGTCCTGGAGCTCACTATGTAGACCAGGCTGGCCTTGAATTTACAGGGATCCGCCTGCCTCTGCCTCCCAAGTGCTGGGACTACAGGTATGTGCCACCACGCCCTGTTTTGTTTTGTTTTTTTTGTCTTTTTGAGACAGGGTCTCCCTGTAGCCCCAGCTGTCATGGAACTCATTATGTAGACCAGGCTGGCCTCGAACTCACAAAGATCCACCTGCCTCTGCCTCCCAAGTGCTGGAATTAAAGGCATGTACCACCATGCCCAGCCAATTTCACTGAGGGACCCTGGGGTAGGAACTCAGGGTAGGAACCTGGAGGCAGAAGCTGAAACACAGGCCATGGAGGAATGCTTCTTACTGGCTTGTTCCTTGGCCTGTGCTCAGTCTCTCTCTCTCTCTCTCTCTCTCTCTCTCTCTCTCTCTCTCTCTCTCTCTCTCTCGACTTTTTGAGACAGGGTCTCCCTGTAGCCCCAGCTAGCCTGGAACTCACTATGTAGACCTAGCAACTGGTTTTGAACTCACAGAGATCCACCTGCCTCTGCTTCCCAAGTGCTGGGATTAAAGGTGTGTGCCACCACATCCAGTCTTTCTTTTTAAAGAAAAAAAAATTATATTTTTTACTATATGAGTGTATCGCCTGCATGTATGTACGTGCACCTGTGTCCTACAAAGCCCTCAGAGGTCAGAAGAGGATGTCAGATAAATCTGGAACTGTAGTTACAGATAGTTGTTAGCTGCCATGTGAATTCTGGGAATCTAACCCAGGTCCTCTGAAAGAGCAGCAGTTCGGTCTGCTTTTTATTGGTCTTTTTTGAGACAGGGTCTCCCAATAGCCCCAGCTGGCCTTGAACTCATAGAGATCCCCCTGCCTCTGCTGGGATTAAAAGCATGTGCCACCATACCCGGCCTGTCTGCTTTTTTATATGATATGCGACCACTTGCCCAGAGGTGGTACCACCCATGGTGGGCTGGGTCCTCCCACATCACTCAACAATCAAGAAAATGCCCCAGAGACATGGTCACGGGCCAATCCAATGGCAGAAATTCCTCAATTGAGATACCCTCTACTCAGGTGTGTCAAGTTGACAACTAAAGCAATCTAGCACATTAAGGATCCAGATCAGTTCTGAGAAACTGACAAGTTGAAAAGCTCTTTCTCCAGAAAAAATGCACACATACGGAACACTTAAAAATATAATTTCAAGGGAGTTAATAGATTTCACAAAGCGAATTACTGCCCGCTTTCCCGCCTCCATCCAAGAGTAAACTGGTTTAAAGTTCACTGATTGTAGGCTGGGTGTGGTGGCATACATCTTTAATCCTAGCACTCCTGAGGCAGAGGCAGGCGGATCACTGTGAGTTCAAGGCCAGCCTGGTCTACACAGTGAGTTCCAGGGCAGGTGGGGCTACAGGAAGTCCTGGTCTACACAGTGAGTTCCAGGGCAGGTGGGGCTACAGGAAGTCCCAGTCTCAAAAACCAAAAACAAACAAAAGTCTATTACAAAGTCAGTCCAATTCCTATCAAAATACCAATGACAACCAATTTATCACAGAAAGAAAAACCCTAAAATTTGTATAAAATCAGAAAAGACTCCCCAAGAGCCAAAGCAATCTTGACCAAATAGAATAAAACCTGAGGCATCACACAACCTGACTCAAACACAGAAAACGACAGTGAGCAAACCAGCAGGGTGCTGACATAAAAGCAGACACAGATCAAAGGGATAGCAGAGACACATCCAGAAACACATTCACACATTTTCAGTCAACTGACTTTTCACAAAGGTGACAAAAAATACACAATAGGAAAAGAACAATCTCTTCAATAAACACTGTTGGGAAAATTGTACATCCACATCCAGGAGACTTCATCCAGAAGCTTATGTCTTACTATTTAAAAGCCTTTAAAAACGAACTATATGTTTAAGACTGAAACTATGGGCTGGGCGTGGTGGCACATGCCTTTAATCCCAACATTCAGGAGGCAAAGGCAGGTAGATCTCTGAGTTCAAGGCCAGCCTGGTCCACATAGTGAGTTCCAGGACAGCTGGGACTACAGGGAGACCCAGTCTCAAAAAGACCAAAAAAACCCAAAAAACAAAAAACAAACAAACAAACAAAGACCTGAAACTATAAAAGTGCTCAAAGAAACAGAAAAGATCCATGACATCCATCTTGGCAATGATATTTTTGGATATGACTTCAAAAACATGGGGCTGGGAATGAAGCTACAGATCTGTTCTTTGGTGTCTGTCTGCTTTTTTCAGCCTTTTTCTATCTATAAAACTACTCTTTTGCTCAGCTTATCAGAACATTTGTTTTATAGCATGAAGTGCTGTCCAATTCTAGGATCTAAAATAAAACCAATTTTGGAACTGTAAATGGTTGTCATGCGACAGCCTAACACCCTGAGGTCCCAAACAATACATAAGTGGATGGGAGGGTCCCTAACACCCTGAGGTCCCAAAACAATACATAAGTGGATGGGAGCTAAGAACTGCACCACAGGGTTACACTGACCTGATTTTTTGCACTCAAGCAGAGACTTATATATATTCTTGCCACAAGAACTACCAGTCCATACATTATGTTTCTTGTGGCTTTCTGTACAACTGGCAGCATTATTGAGCCCCAAAAGGTACTGGCCTACCATGGGGAAGAGGCTATCCTCCCAGGCAGCAGTATCTGCTGTTTCCTTAGACCCCCAGTTCCTCCTTTACAATGTAAATGAATGTCAGTTTTACCTTTTGGTTTTGAGTGGCTTAAGGAATACACAGGGAAATTTGGTGTAAACATTAAAAAAGGAGATTCAGATGGCTGAAAAGATGGCTCATTGGCAAGCGTGAAAACCTGGGTTCAAATATCAAATAGCTTTACTCATGTAAAGCTGGGTGCACATCTGTAACTCCAGTGCTCCTACAGCAAGATGAGGCAGAATAAGAGATCTCTGGAAACCAAAGGGCCAGACAGCCTGGCATATGCAGTATTAAACAAGAGACGCTGTCTCAAACAAGGTGGAAGTTGAGCACTTACACCTCTGTTGTCTTCTGACCTCAGACCTGCATCCTCCGCCCTACACATGCACAATAAAGAGATCCACAAGTGAGCTCTTTTTTCTGTCACTTGTTATTACTGTAGTCAGTCATTAAATATTGCTATGAAAAACCTGTTTGTTGCAGCCTTGTTTTTACAGGTGTCACAGTAATGCAGCTTTTATTTCCTATCTGGGAGACCATCACTTGGTTAGTTACTTTACTTTCAAGCTTAGGCAGTAAACCTCACACAGACCACTGAAAGACTAATTATAGTAAAGTACTATCAACAGTGTTCTAATGCTCTAGAATTTTTGGCAAACTCCGGGGATGCACATGCTTAGGAAACTAGCTCTATTAGTTCAGCCAAGGTTTTGAGGGCAAGTTCAGTTATAAGGGAGAGTTAATATAACATAATTAGTGAGAAAATGACTGCCAAATGGCGAAAAAGAAGTTCAAGTAATGAACATGCTGCCTTTTCTAAAATGAGGGCAGTTTGCAAAACAAAATATTATCGGATGGTTAATGGATATCATCCCACATATTCTTTATTTTTTATTTTTGTCTTTTTGAGACAGGGTCTCCCT